ACTCATTAGTAACCAGCATCTCCAAAACTCTTTCAATGTTCACAGCGATTGAAGATCAGTATTATTATTATTTGTATTACTGTAGTGCCTAGGAGCCCAAGACCCCATTATGCTAGGTGTTGTACACAAACAGAGCAAAAAGATTGGGTTGACACTAAGTAGAAGACAAGAGATAACAGATGGATACAGATCAATGAGGAAGTACAAATAAACAATGAGAAAATATTAGTCAGCATGACAGACAGTGGTCTCTGCTCACTAACAGGTAGTGTTGTATTGTTAAAGCTAATCCACACAAAATTGGAAGTGGGCCTAGCCACTTCACAGTTATAAATCCCATAGAACCATGTTTGATGCAACTGGGTTCTGACAGACATCTGACCTACTTAAAGCAAACTAAAGTTTTGTATTAGTTAAAGCTAATAGTTCTTCCTATGACAAATGGTTTGCCTACCCACTACTATATAGCTCAAGTGTATCTGTATCAATGCATTCTGTCTAAACAGCTAGTGGCAGCCCAAAACATTGTGGGCATTTTTTCAAGGAATCTCCTTGCCCCCAACAGCTCAAAGATTTCTGGGATTTTTTTTATACCATCACTCACTGAGCATTGCACTTATTAATGACTGCATCCATTAAAAAGGCTTAGAATGAAACTAAAAAGATGGGAACATAAGTGTTTTAGAGGCAATGTTGGATGACACTGAATGGAAGCAAGTAAAGGGCACAAAGGGGAAACTGAATGTATTCAAAGATAATGTAATGTTTGCCAAGGGGTCATGAGGCAATCTAATGCTAAATATAGAATTACAGAAAAGAAGCCAATGTAGATTAGCAAAACACACACAAAAAAAGTAGAGGTAAAAAGAGGTACAGGAAGAAATTTATAACACATCAGATACAGAGGAGCACTGGAAAGATTAGAAATCACATTGAGAGCAAAACATGATAAGAAAACCTACAGTTAATAATGAGAATTAAGAATTTAAGAGTAATTCCTATATTAAGAGCTGCATATATAGGTTATATGGATCAGACTACCAAAAGCAGCATTAGGAATAACTAATTTAGCTATCTGGTTTTAAAAATTATCAGGCAAATAACTGGAGAGAAAAGATATTCTAGATTACAACTCTTAACTCAAAAGATGGGGTGGATCAGCCACACAGACTGAAAGAGGCCAGGAAACCAGTTCTATATTTAGTTTCCCAGTAATTCTAAATAGCATCTAGCAAGCTATATCGGTAAATTATATATGATCTTTAACACGCTCTCACCTCCACAAGGAAACTTTTCATATATCTTGATTTGTTTTTTTAAATACCGCTGACATCTATTTCATAGAACACCTTAATTATTAGATAGCACCTTTGTTGTACACCTCTACCCTGATATAACGCGACCCGATATAACACGAATTCGGATACAACACGGTAGAGCAGTGCTCTGGGTGGGGCGGGGCTGCGCACTCCGGTGGATCAAAGCAAGTTCGATATAATGCGGTTTCACCTATAACGCGGTAAGATTTTTTGGCTCCCGAGGACAGTATTATATCGAGGTAGAGGTGTACCTGGAAATGTACAGACATAGCTCCTGCCCCGGGAGCCTTCCTATCTAGACATTTAGGATGACCCTTTAGCTTCTGAGAAATTATTTTTAATTTATAAAAAAAAGCAAAGCACTCAGGGGCTTTTTTTGAAGTGTTCTAAAAACAATTATCACCTATGTTCAATTAAGGTACTAATGATACAGTGCTTCGCAAACAAGCTGCTTTATTAATAGGACTAGTCTTCCAAGATAGATAGAAAGGTGATTTTAATATGCTGCCACGTCCCACAAACATAACAGACGCAAGGATTTACTTTCCTATTTCTACCAAAAAATAGATTTTAATTGATACTTCACCTACTCTGGTCTGAAAGATTGGACAGTCTAAGAGATTTTTCTACATATATTGTCCAAGATTGATACGGTTTCTGGATGTTATAGGTATTGAACTTTGATTTTATATACATACACACACACACACACACACACACACACACACTTTAAAGGCCTTCGTTTTCAAAGCTGGTATCTACCCCCACATACACACGGTCCATCCCAGAACATTACACTTTTCTGGGGATTTTTTCTAACAAACAAAAATAAAGGCTTGTTTACACAGGAAAATTGACCGGCATAGCTGTAATGGAATAAGATATGCTGGTATAGCTATGCAAGAATAATTCCCAAATGAAGTTACTTATTTCAGAGTAGAATAACTCTGCACAGGGAGTTATTCTAATATAGCTATAGCTTATTCCACTGCAGCTATCCCAGTCCATTTCCCCATGTAGACACCCCATAATGCTTTGTATTTTCAAAGCACTGAACAAAATATTAGCCAATTAAATCTCTCACTCTTATGGAAGCAGTTAGGGATTTCCAGTTCACAAAAGGGGAGTAGAGACAGGGCCTGCTTGGGAGTACATCATGACACAAATGCACTTTATTGAAATAAGGAGATTGGAATCCCCAATTGTCTAGACCAGTGGATATTATGCATGTCTCAGAAAGGATAAAACTGATTTTTGGTGGCAAGATGCACCCTCTATCATTTGAACCATAAACTAGTATTCACAGTGGTGTGAGAATAAACCATTCCTCCCACCATACAAGGAAAGGTATAGCGATGCTTGTTAGCAGAGAAGAAAGGCTGGGATGTGGAAAAAAATTTAACAGACCACATACTGTAGGTGTCTGGCAGCCGTGTTGCTCCCACACACCGCATGTTTATTCAAAATGCCGCTGCTGGGGTCATTTCCTGACCTGCCATTCTGACCACATTAACCCTCTCTTTTTGCATCCCTCCACTGGCTCTCCCTCCTCCACCAAATCAATCACAAGTTCTGTGTCTTTGCATTAAAGGCCCTTGACTCTTTATCCCCATCCTCTATATCAGATATATTAAGTTACTGAACACTATCTTCACTCTGCTACTGATGGCAGCCTTGATTGCCTGCTTATGGGCTTCTTTCTCCAGTACCTCTGAATTTTATCCCATCTGTTTCACATGCATGGGGAAAACTCCCCATAAATTACTGTAAACCTCCACCTTATCCTCTACAAAAACTACCTCTCTGCCCTGATGCTGACAAAGTATTCAGGTCTGACATTGGCTAGAAAAGTGATGATTGCAGTTTTTCCGCTAAACATCCTTCTAGCCCACCCTTCAGCCAGTGTGTCTGTTTCATCCAATTGTTATATCCCATCTGTCACGTCAATTGTGAGCACTCTCAGGCAGAAACTGTTGTCTTTGTTACATATCTGAATAGTGCCTACAACAGGCTCCCACTCCATAATTGAGAGTCCTAGGACATAATGTAGAACAAATAAAATATCTTCCTAAATAGCGCTCCACCTGCCCCTCATATAATATGGTAATATCAGAGCACCTATGCTGAATGGTATGCTTTGGCACACACTCTAGCAATATGGTGATATGGAAGAAAAGTGCTAAATCAACAAAAATAAGTGTTAAAAATAGTCATTTGTTCCAACTAAAATAGCCCTCCTTCATGTTTAGGTATGGCGAAATGACATCTACATTTATTTAATAAAAACAGAATGGTGAAATCAGTAAATATTGATTGTGATTAACAATGCAATTCACCTGTTTATATTTCAGTAACTAGAAAATGGCCATTATAAGCCTAATTTTCACCACTTTTTTTAACTTCACTAACTCCTTGAAATTTCTCACAAATGCTTCGTTGCCAAAAAAGTTATTTGACACTGGAGTTTTTTTGTTTGTTTTTTAATATAGGGAAGTCTGGCAAGAAGTTTGTGAGAAACTTGGGGGGGTGGGGAGGGGAAAATTGAACAGATGGTAATTATTTGAAACGTATCTCAAAAAAATAGGTGAAGTAAAAACACTAAGTTTAGCTTAGTTTATTTGTTTTTTCTGAACAAGGAGTGGTTCCTTTTAATATTTTTTGGAAATCCTGGATTTGGGACTCTAGATTTGGTTCTATAGAACAATTCATGCCAAATTTTACTAACCTACAATTTCTATGGAAGAGAGTATTAAGAACGTCTGCAACTGAACCATGACACAAGAAATGGTGCCACCTTGTAGGGCTTGTCTACACTACCCACCAGACTGGTGGGCAGGGATCAATCCAGCAGACGTCGATTTATAGACGCGATAAATTGAATGCTGAGCGCTCCCCCGTCGACTCCAGTACTCCACCAGAATCGACGGGAGAGCGTCAGCTGTCAACTAACCGCAGTGAAGACACCGTGATAAATAGATCTAAGTACGTCGACTTCAGCTATGCTATTCACATAGCTGAAGTTGCGTATCTTAGATCGACCCCACGCGGTAGTGTAGACAAGCCCATATAAAAGATTTACATTGGTATTTATATCATGCATATCCATTCTTTTTTGTCCCTCCTCTCACGCCTCCTCTCTCTTGCAATGTTTTTGTAAGACTCCTCTTCTGCCTTTCCCAACTTGAAACAATTTCCTACCTAAAGTGTTTTTCCCATTGATAAACTTTCATTAACATCTTTTTCCTTATCAAGTTACTTATCAGAAGATAGCAGCAGCCTTTAGTCATACAACAAGATCCTCTGGCCTCACTTTATACTGCTGTTGACTATAAGAATTAGAAAACCTACATGGGAATTTGGCAAGCGTTGTGAAGCACTGCAAACAATTTAAATTCAGCCTAACTCATACCCACAACTATCCTTGACCCAAACTCAGGAGAGAACCTTACACTGGAATGCCAACCATCTTTAAACACTAACAGTGAGACACACTCATTACACTGTACCATATTAATGAATGCATCCCGCACACAACCCCAGATTATTCTACAATTCATGTGTTTTTTTTCAATCTACCTTTGCCAACAATTAATGTTAGGACAAAAGAGAAAAGAAAAATAAATGACAAATATCTGAAAGGTAAATACATTAAATATATTTAAAAAAAAGTTAGGAACCTACGTTTTGGCAGTGACATCCACAAACTGCCCTGGACGGAAGTGAGCTGCATACAGAGGAGTACCTTAAAAAGGAGGGAAAATATACCATTCAATTAAGTGCTGAAACGTGAACCATTATCCTGTCAGCATCCACAGTTGTTAAAAATAATTTTAAAAAGGAAATCTTTTTTATTTAAATCCTGATGCTTTAAAAAAAAAATTAATTTATGTATAATTACTTTATTTTCATCCCATTTTATAGTCTTAAATTGCTAAATTGGTTGTTTTGTACTTGTTTCTTTAGTCTCCCAATTATTAATACAATTTACCTAGAGATTTTTACAACTAAAAAGTTTCACACTTAAGATACTCATCTACACTGAAAAAGGCAAATCAAGGATACTTAATATCTTTATTAAGAGAATACAATAAGCTCAAACACAAAATAGACATGCAAATACCCTGTGCTAAGTTTGTAGCAGTTACATTTTCAGATCCGTTTTGAGACTGATTTTTTGCTCTTATTTTTGAAATTTTTGGGCTGTGTGTATAAAAAAAAGTTCTAAGTAACTTTGTTAATGTATTATACAACTAAATAATTTTTCAGTGTTAACAATGAAGCAATTTATTTTGATGTGACAAAGATTATGACACGAAGAAAAAAGTTTTTAATGAAAGTACAATTTTAGCCCCTTGTTCTGCAAACACAATGCATGTGCTTAAAATTAAATTCATGAGTAGTCCTATTAAAGCAAATGGGACTATTCATGCAAGTAAAATTACTTATCTGCTTAACTGCTTGCAGTATCAGTGCGTTAGTTTTCAATTTTTTGTTTATAGCAGTCCTGTAAAATTAAAAAACAACATACCCTAATAATAGTGGCATTTAAAAAGAAGCTTTGATAATTTAGTTCTTTGTAAAACTAATTGAGAATTTAATTTATAAATCCTCAACTTGATTTAAATCAATTTAAAAACAAAATCAAGTAATTTAGATCACTCCACTCTATCAATGTCAGATTTGTCAGTTAATGCAGTTAGTGATGATGTGAGCCTCTACTAAATCACCAAGCAGAAAAATATCAACATCTAGTATAAATAAATAATGAAGTGTACTAGCCCCAACAAAAAGAGAGACAGACAGCCCAGGGCAAACAATTGAGATGAGGAAAGATGGAGAATGCCGCAGTAATGTTTGTAGTACATATTTAGGACTTTAAAAGCTCCCAACTTTCAGCCTTTGCTTCAATTATCAGACCACACTTTTTCCGTATGCCATGCTGGATACTACTAATGAGTAGCCGCAATAAAGTCTAAGATCTGTTTGTAAACTCTCTCTCTACTGGCTACCAAAGAAGTCATAATATTTTAAATAGACCATTAGGACCCTGTTTTATTAAAACTAATGATTAATAAATTAATAAAATGCCTGAAGCAAAATTATGTTGGCAAAAGCATGTAATATAAACAACCCAAATTCACATACTAATATATCCTGAAAAATTTAAAAAACAATTTTTATGAAGGTTAAACATCCAAATCTTCTGGTTACAAGACATAATTCTCAATGGAAACCAATGCTCCATTTTGCTGAATCCTTTCTGCCTCAAATAGTCTGAAACAATGGCATTTCAAGAGGTACCTAATTCGTCTCAACCAGGGAAGCACAGAGAAGACTGAAACCTCTTAAACGGCAACTTTTCCAACCTCCTGCAAAACATCACTTATGGTGTCCCTATAAGAGTGCCAAAAGTCCTTTTGGGAAGTGTATTCACATTCATTTTTAACACCGATTTGCATTGTAGCTAGTTTGAATTAAACAACTTTTCCAAGGGGTGGAACTGATTTGCTACGAAAACGAGAAATGGCGAAAGACAACAATTTCTTTCTCCACCCACAGAAAACAAAGGCCATTTTCTATTTTCCTTCTTTTCAGAAATTTGATTTGGTCCCAGTGATAGAGGGGAAAAATGATTTTTTAAATTCATTTTCATACCTACAAATCAATCGCACCTTAATGTAGGCTGACCAAATAGCAAGTGTGAAAAATCAGGACAGGGGGTGGGAGGTAACAGGAGCATATATAAGAAAAAGCCCCAAATATAGGGACTGTCCCTATAAAATCGGGACATCTGGTCACCCTCCCTTAATGTCTTCTGTTTATGTAAGTCTAAACCAGCGGTCGGCAACCTTTCAGAAGTGGTGCGGCGAGTCTTCATTTACTCATTTTAATTTAAGGTTTCGAGTGCCGATAATACATTTTAACATTTTTTAGAAGGTCCCTCTCTCTCTCTAAGTCTATATATAATATAACTAAACTACTGTTGTATGTAAAGTAAACAAGGTTTTCAAAATGTTTAAGAAGCTTCATTTAAAATTAAATTAAAATGCTGATCTTAAGCCACCGACCTGCTCAGCCCGCTGCCAGCCTGGGGTTCCATTCACCTAGGCCGGCAGCCAGCTGAGAGGGGCCGGCAGCTGGGACCCCAGCTGGCAAGGGGGTGGCAGCCAGAATCTCGGGCCGGCAGCCAGAACCCCAGACCGGCAGCGGGCTGAGTGGGGCCATGGGCCAGGACCCCAGACCGGCGGCGGGCTGAGCAGGGCCGGCACCCCAGACCAGTAGTGGGCCGAGTGGCTCAGCCCGCTGCCGGTCTGGGGTTCCATCCACTGGGTCCTGGCTGCTGGCCCCGCTCAGCCCGCTGCCGGTCTGGGGTTTGGGCTGCCAGGCCCTTGCCAGCTGGGGTCCCAGCCACCAGCCCCGCTCAGCCCACTGCCAACCTGGTGCTCAGGGTTGGGGGTGGGGATATGGAGAGTGCAGGAGTCAGGACAGGGGGTGTGGGGAGTGCAGGAGTCAGAGGAGGGGGCATGGGGGGGCTGGGTATGTGTGGATGGTGCAGGAATAAGGGATGGGGTCGTGGGGGTGGATACAGGGGGCTGGGGTGCAAGGGTCAGGGCAGAGAGGGGCTGGGATCAGGGGGGTGCTCCCAGCCCCCTACCCCCTGAGCGGCTCACGGCAGGGGGCTGGAGGGATACGCCCCGCTCCAACCCTCCTTCCTCCTGCCTCTTCTCTGCCTCCTTACCGGTCTGAGCAGCGAGGGCATTGGGGCTGCTATTCTCCCCTCCCTTGCAAGGGCGATCGGCGGCAGGGAGGGAGAGGAGGCGGGACTCGACAGCACGCTGGGGGAAGAGGCAGGGGAGAGGGAAGCCTGGCTGCCGGCAGAGCCTGCCGTACAGCAGCAGCCGGCAGGACAAAGCTTGCTTCTGCTCCCGCCAGAGACAGCAGTAGGTGGTGGCAGAGAAGAGCGGGCTGGGTCGGGCAGGATTTTTAATGGCACGCTGCTGCCTGCCAGGGTCCGGCCCAGCCCACTGCCGGGGCTGAGCGGGACTCCAGCAGGCAGCAGCGTGGCATTAAAAATCATCTTGCATGCCGTCTTTGGCACTCGTGCCATAGGTTGCCGACCCCTGGTCTAAACCAAGAATAAGTCATACATGTAATGTATTCCAGCTCAAAAAGATTACCTGGCTTAATTATAGCATTATCTGACACCTTAAATATTGTAGTTTTCTGCTTTGGTGGTACTCCTGCTTCTCTGAAAACCTCCAATGCAGACTCTGGTTTCTGAAAGAAAGAGCACCCATAAAAACAAGTGAACTTAAATTATAAATTCATTATAAATTCAGTGAACATCAGAAAAATGTTTACAACTGTTAACACTACTTAAAAAACAAATGCCATATTGTATTTTTACTTTCAAGTAAGACTTTTAACTTTATATTAAATTACTGTAGCATAATTTCTTCATGAACTTTCTATTTTCCATTGTTGGAGCTCATTTGACCCATCAATCTCATCATATGATCACTGCACATTGAGACTGTGTCACTAACACCAAGGGATCTGTACAAACTTCCAGAGCTAGGAGGGAGAAGCCAGTCATCACTTTTTTCATGTACACAAATATTTATTAGTGCTTTTTAAATTTGTATTTATAATACATTTTCACTAACCGTAGAGTAATTTAAAGTCTAATCTTTATTTCAGATGTCATTATAAATGCACATTTGTACTAATGACACACCTTGTGGCACTGTAAAAAGGTATGTAGTTTAATAGACAGTAAACCCTTCAGGGCATGGACATAATCTAAGGCCCTGATCTTGCAGGGACTTCTTGAAATACTTAACTTTACAAAAGTCAGTAGTTCCACTGAAGCAAAGGGGGCTTCACATAGCACAAGGATCCACTGCATAGTCAGAGTTTGAACAGCAGAAGACCCCAAGAACATTTATTTTTATTTAAAATAGACCTCTCTCATTTAAATGACAATCTTTGGTTACAAATGAGAGCTTTTTATTTTATCAGACACATCAGCAGCTGCCTTTTAGAAACATTACAGTACTGAAAGAGAACCAGCCAAATGGAAACCATGTGTATGAAAACTGAAGTTGTATACAGTGGCTCAGCTGAGATTTTCCTTCAAATGAAACCTCCTAGAAAGCAATTTAAACAACTGACAGCAGTGTCACACTTGGATAATTCCATCTGTGAGGGGGTCACTTTTAAAAAGTTCTCTGAAATTATCCTTTTCCCAATAAAAACACTTCTCTGAACTTTCAGACAAATTGATCTGGACACCCCTTAAGGCCGTTTAGCTTCATTTGAAAAATCAGCATATTGCCCATGATTTTATTAATAACTATATGTAAATACATTTTATAAGAACAGCAAAAAACATATTATGTTTGGTTAGAAACCAATCGATAAAATTCCTTTGATTTCTAATTGATTAGTGGCCAACAAAACAAATCACCTTTATGAAAAAGTCCATCCTCCACTCAAGTATGAATGTTGATATAGAGTTCAGCAGTTCACTATTTTTTAAAAATGATTTGCTAACTTGCATTCATATAGTAAAACATTTTAAACAAAAGATTTTTAAAATAATCGTGAGTAATCTATTTATATATTTTCCAAAGCTGGTTGTATTATTGGTCTGATGACTGATCACATGTATACTGTACTACAGTGCATGCAGAAGTGAAAAATAAAATAGGTATCTCCTTTATCAGATGTATTTAAGTAAGCCTTGATTTAGATTGGAAAGTAAAATTATATTTGTTTAGCTGACCAGAAACTGAATGCTTAACAGTATATTCAAAATGGGCTTGTGAGCAGGATTAGAATGACTGGGGGAAAAAAAAAAAAAAAAAAAAAAAAAAAAAAAAAACACCACATACTGAAGTCATCAAGGGATAAGAAAGCTTTTTTCCATTTTTCACCAAAACATCTGTCTATAGCTTTCTATTGCCCGACTTCAGCAAATGAAACAAAATTTCATCAAGTGCTCTAATGGACGAAGACAAAGGTAGGTATTTTTATGTACACAATATCACATAGCTTCCTTGCAAAAATGGGGAAAAACAGATTTTTAAATGGCAACATTAGAGAGGATATTGAATATGTTCTCAAGTGAATACCATTTTTAAAGGTCTATTGGAAGCATACTGAGTAGAACAGTATAGACTGTTGCAAATCAGACTACATCTACAAAATGATTAATAGACCTCAAAACCAGAGTTTGTTTATTTTTTAAAGTCATTGATAAAACAGTCATAGTACCATGCATTTTGGGAAGGAGACCAATTAACTGTGCATTAAAAAAAATAATTTACAAAGTTTATCCACTTGGAACACAATGGCATTTGTCAAGCTAAAAAAAATCCACATTCCTAAAAATGTATTTAAATTTTTTTTAAATAATTTGACATTTAAAAGAAATACATGAAACCTTCATTGTTAGTGAAATTACTAAGGGATTCATCAGACAATTCACTAAAGTGAGTCACAGTCAAAATCTGGGGAGGACAGATGTTACTATGGGGAACTAATGAAAAATTAATTATGCTGACAACACAGGACTAGTTTTCCACAGTTTAGCTTTTCGAACTCATATTTGGAAGAAAACAATGAAGTGATAAATATAAAAAGAGGATGAAACTTCAAGTTTAAATGTAAACCAGAAAAAGGTATCATTATTATATTTGCAGAGTCCATAACAAGTGTAAACTGTACACAAATAAAATAACCTGTGTCAAATTCTTTTAAGCTATGTAATTTTATGGAACAAATTTACTCCAGATTCAACCTCAGAAGTTACCAGGCAAGGTCCAGATCTACATAAACTTATTCAACCATATCCATTAAAATAAATAAATAAATAAATAAATAAAAAATAAATAAAATAAAAACCTAATTAATAGAATTATCTAGAAAAAAGCAACAATTTCCTATTAAGGAACATAGATAATGTAATAAACAATAGTCAACAATCTGATATTTTAGATCAGGGGTTCTCAAACTGGGGGTCCAGGACTCCTCAGGAGGTCGCAAGGTTATTACATTGGGGGTCACGAGCTGTCAGCCTCCACCCCAAACCCCGCTTTGCCTCCAGCATTTATAATGGTGTTAAATATATTAAAAAGCGTTTTTAATTTATAACGGGGGTGGGAGGTGAGGTGTCGCACTCAAAGGCTTGCGGTGTGAAAGGGGTTACAAGTACAAAAGTTTGAGAACCAATGTTTTAGATCATTGTGCATCAAAGGTATACAGATCACAATAAGAGCAGTTTAAATTGGACATGTGATTGCATGAATCCTATATTCTCCATGGACTGAATGCATTTCGTTACTCAGCCAAGCAAGAAGACCCTGTTGAGCAGTCAGGACTATCACGCATGCATTCCTTCATAGGTGTGCTTCCCTGGTGCACCACCAGCAGTTTCAAAATGACTAGATTCATATGATTTTTGTCAGTCTTGATCTAACACAGCCAGGAACACTGGTCTAATTTCACCAAGTGAAAAATGTTCCTCTAGTAGCGGACATGCACCAGAGAGATAAGACATGTGGAAACCAAAGTGAACATTGGTGAGATGTGCACACGCAAGCATTAAATAAAACTAAGATTTTGGGTATTATCCCTACTAGAAAAACTGAGGTACAAGCCCTCAAGGAAAAACAAACAGATCTCCAAATAAGCCATTAATGCCTTTTTGTATCTGGGTCAAACAGAGATGACGGCAAGAACAATGCAAAGAGAAGTGTGATACTGTTTTGTAAACATAATGAATCACAAAAAAATAAAAAGTGCTCTTTTGAAGGAAGGCTAGGTTTCCCATCATGATTCAATCTTTCCCCCTGGGATTGACAAAACTGCTAAATTGCTTCAACCATTGAAGACTGACTTGGATTTCTGCATCAGACATCTAGAGCTGTTAAACAAATTAGTGGTTTGTGGCACCGTCATTTATAAGCTATGTTCACAACTGTGCATATTTTAAGTTTAAAGTTTAATTCTTCTTTCAGGAATATTATATGCAAATGAGCAAATAAAACAATGGTAAAATTAAAGCAGAAATGACTAAATCAGGATACATCAACCAACTATATAATGAGATTATCCAAAGGATTATCAGAATCAGTAACTCCCCTATTCCAGTGGTTTTTAAATTTGTGGGCCAAGATCCCAAGTTTGTAGAGCTAAGTACCTGCTCCCCCATCCACTACTACTACATGTTCCCATTTCCTGCAGTTCCCTCCATTACCAATAGAATACCATGCTTCAAAGAAGCTTTCAAAAATACAGCCTTCTACCATTTCCAAGAGGGGAAAAATGCTAATTGAGTTGTCCTCACTTCCCAGATTTTGGGGAAGGTTGGGTTGAAGGGAGGGAAGTGAGAATGGAGCCTTCCTCCTCCTCACCCAAACCACCTGATGGCACAAGTGTGTGACGGTGAGTGAGAGACAAAGATGAGCCTCCGAAACATGTATGGCTGCAGACTCATCTTTGACTAAACACCTTTTAATATATCACTGTTTTGTCTGAAAGCATTTATAATTACTGATCCTTATAGAAATAACAATTCTAAACAAAAAAAACAAAAAAAGGAAGTAGTACACTTACATAAAAAGGAGATGAATTTTTCCCTCCAATGAGTAGGGTAGCTGTTTTTCCATTATACTCCTCCTTTGGTGTGTACTTTAAAACATGGCAGTCTTTCACCTTAAAAAATAAATCACAGTAAACAGGGTCTCAAAACAGACACATCTGCTCATATTTTAATTTAAATTAACAATAGATATTAAACAATGTGAGCAAAGTCACAGTCGACTCGATTTCATTTGTTTAATAGAAGACACAAAGTTCAAAGAGAACATTTTAACCATTTATAATGAAGCATCTTTCAATTAACTGTTCACCAGAAAGCCTACTAGAACAGACACGTGGAACAGACAGTATTCTTATGTAAATCCTAAAAGTAAAATCAGTATCTCTCTTACCTGAAGTAATGTGACAGCATGTCTTTCACCATCCTTGGTCCATAACGGAATCATTCCCAACTTTATTGCAACAAGGCCAACTCTGCGGGAACCTTTAGATCAAAACAAACCAAGCCCTTAACTTTAGACTAAATAACTGACAGAATCAGAGTCTGTTGTTCGTCAGGGTATGCTAGAAGATCTTTCCCCCCCCCATGGAGGGGATTGAGGGAGGCGAGAACAAGTTTTTAATTTTGTGGGCAGGTTCGGAATAGCAGGGTTTCTTAATGTACACTTATGTTTGTGCAGAGCAATACATGGGCTCAGTATTAATTACAATATATAATTTCTTGTTGAGAAGTCACTTCTGAAAAATACAAACATGACTTCCATTTTTGGCAAATCAGATGACTCTAAAACAAAAATTAAGTGTTACATGATAAACATTATTTCACTAGGTTCCACCCCTCCCCCTCTCGCTCTAAATATTTAAGTTTTTATTTTATTCTCAGCCACTGTATAACCTTTAAGGGTTCAGATGCTTAGGTCTTTAGCTTGAATCACAGAACCCTAAGAGGAATATTTAAGAAATAAATATTTTAAATGTGTGGGGAAAAAAGAGCAGCTCCAAATCTGTTATATAATATTTACGTATTGTGTCACTTAGTAGCCATTCTAAGTATATGAAGCAGTCATCTGCAATGCCAGAAGCTAGATTTTACCAGAAGTATCACTAAAGTCTTGGTCAGCACCACTGCTGCAACAATAAGATAATTAACTAACCATAAAAAAAAAAAAAAAAAAAAATCTAGAAAATACGTTCATCTAAGACTGTGTGTCAGAGGGTTCCTGTGGACTCTGTGGGACCTTAAACACACAAGCTATGCTACCTAGTATGCTATCTCTTCTATGCAGTGACTGGGAGTCAATCTGTAGTCCCTTGTGGATCAGAAATGCTACCAAGCCAAAGTCCCTGATTTTGGAATGAAGTCGTTCACATCAGTCAACAGCAGCTAATTACGTGGTACTCTCTGATGTGTTCGTGACAGTCATATTCCAAGAGTATTGAAGCAAGACAGGTTTTGAGGGGGCTGTGGCTGGAAAGTGATGATAAATGTGTTGAAGCTGAAGGAGAAGATCCTCAGGAATAAGAGAGGAACTTGAAGACTAAAGTAGTGCTTTGGTCCTTGCAGAGGTAAAGAAAGTGACTAAAGTAACAAAGAAGAAACTTTATAGGACACCAGTTCAATATTATTTGTATACTGCAACAGCCCCATTGCGACTACAGCCAGAGCTGCATCTATTCATATACTAACCTGGTTCCCACGAGTGCAGTGGCCAAGGCTCATCTTTCAGTGGACACAGTTTACTGGCTGTTTGAGCTCTGTATTCTTCTGCTGTTAACTGCTTAAGGAACTGGGTGTTCTCTTCAGAAAGATGTTCATCCCACCAGGTGGTGCTATTAATATGCCTGACTATAAAGCACCAGGGACCCCTACCAAGTAAAAAAAATAAAAAAGGAGAGGAGGGATTGGGGTTGCTATTAATGTATATAATGCCTTTTACTACTGCATCTCATCACAAAGATTACAAAAGAATTAAACATCATTAACAAGTCATGCTCAAGTGATGGCACTCAAACTGTCCCACCCTGATCATCCTCCTTCAGATAATCTTGCATTTAATTTACTAAACACAAACAAATCAAAATCAAAAATAGAATCAATAGGAGCAATCAACCACATGCTAAAACAATAACTCAGTCTCTTATCCTACACCCTAGAGCTCACTAATCTCAGGCACTAGTGGATAACCAAAGAGAAGCAAATTCCAAAATGGAAAATTTCAAGCTGAGAAAGCCACTGCTGGATTTCATTACCAGCCTCAAAAGAGGTTTTTAAAACCCAGGAACTCTCAACTAGCATAACAGCCCCCTCTCAACTGCCTTGACAGAGAATAAAGCAAGGGACTGCTTCCTAGGTAATCAGGTACCACACCATTTGGGGCTCTGAAGGACATCAACTCTACCTTACTTGCACCCAGAAGCAAACAGGAGCTCAGAACAGAGACTGAGTCACAATCACTACATGCTCATAGAAGATACCACAGACTTAGGAAGCAGGCAAATGTGCTTTGTACCAGATTAAAGACTTCGAGGTTGCCTTCATGTAGAGGATATTACTACAATCCAAGATGGAGGCAACCAAAGTCTGAATAACTGTTGCAAAGTATGTATCAGAGAGACGCAATCATAAGCTTTGCCTTCACTAAGAAAAAAGGTGTGTCCTTACCACGAGTTAGCTAACACATGGTAACTAACATGAGGAAAAATCCTAGTGAAGACATGGCAGTTCTCATTTTAACATGTTATCAAGGCGTCCCTCTGGTGTTTACTTCACAACCTGCTAAAACATGTGAAAACTAGAAATGCCTTGTGTTGTGTTCACTAGGATTTTATCATGTGCTAGCTAACATGGTAAAACATACATTTTTCCTAGTGAGGATGAAACCATAGCCTCTTGATCAGCCATATATAAGTGGCACTATAGACCACTGTGGCTTCTTGAAAATCCAGAATTAGCGATGACTCCAGATGGACCGGCAGACTGAATTGTTTATGCAAAACGAAGTCCACACCCTTAATGTTTAGTGCAGACACTGCTTTAGCCCACTTCTTTATATTCTTCCCCATGTCAAGCATTGCTTCCATCTTAGCAAGATTAAGTCACAGCCTGTTTGCTTTCATTCACGTCCCTATGAAGGCCAAACACCGGGAAAAATAATGAAATTGTAGACAGGGCTTTGGAGCGGAGCCCAGAGCTGGAGCGCGGAGCAGCTCCGGAGCAGTGGAGCTGCAGGTTTTTGCCTGGAGCTGGAGCGGAGCCGGAGCACAGCTACAAAGTCCTGATTGTAGAATCTGATTTTCATGGAAGAATGATGTCTGGATGACATACAATGGTGGAGGAAGCCATGCAGAGATAATCATGGGCATAAAGATAGCAATGAAGGCAACGTCTCATACTCCTCTAGTTGCATTTATCCTGATCCACTGCCAAAAAAAACCAACCACTGATATGCCATATCCTTGGTTCCATATCCTACTTTAAAGCCAAACTGATGCATTCCTTAGACCTCCTGTGGAATTCGAGTGTTGCTCCATCAGTACTTCCTCATATTACAAACAAAACAGGGATATTCTTAAAAATCAGTGATGTCCTTGAGTGGATGGTTACCTATGTGTTATTGCACAGTATGAAGATTAGGGCAATTACTTCATACTGCCTCAGCATGGGAGAGCCTGCTTAGAGGATGCACACGAAGGGTACATCTACACTGCAATAAAACACCCACAGCAGGCCAGAGTCAACTGAGTCTCTCAGTGTAGAGATTTGGGCTCAAGAAAGAGCCAGGGCTCTGGGAGCCTGTAACGGGGGAGGGTCCCAGAGCCCAGGTTGCAGCCTGAACCCAAACCAGGTTGGATAAAAATCAATGATTTTTTTTAAATGGATTTTTTGATCAAATGCTTTTTGAGAAAAAAAAGAACTTATCTAAAGATAGTTTTAGTTAAGATACATTATAGCTCAAAGATATCTCATCATGGAATAGGGATTATAAATTCTAATTCTATAGTATGAGACAATATAGTCATGTAATGTTTAAGAAAAAAGTTTTGTAAATGAGTTTCAATAGTTCATAGATTAGGGACCCAATCTTATGAGGTTCCAGGGGCTTCTGTATAGGTTATTTAAGTTAATCTTTCTAGCTACCAATGGGACTCAGTGCTCAGTCGAGAAGATACCATCAGAGATGCTTAGATCTGTAGTTCTCAAACTCTGGCTTTGTGTCTCTAGAGATAACATGCTTGTTAACAGCAAAAATGTTTTTAAATAAATAAAGTAAATAAATAATATAGAGACACCTCAACCCTGTTGTCCCTCTCTCTAATACTTACCTCTCTCTAAAAGTGCAAAGTTTCAAAAAGTTCAATGAATAGAAGATTGTTGGGGGTGGAATAGATCTGGACAAGGAGAAGTCTGGAGATAAATGTGAGAAGGGAGGGACAGGCAGTAGAAACAAAAGTGAAACTGTTTGAGCAGCATATTCCAGAAGTCTTGAGGTCTTTCTGAGTGCAGCCTTCATTATTTGAGATATACCATACCAGTCTCTCATTAGAAGGGAAAACCTACAATGGCAGCAGGCCGTAAGAGAGACCCAGTTTGGGAATATTTTAATAAAGTTCCTCTACCTGTGGGTAAGACAGGCATGCATGCAAAATGCAAAGAGTCAACAAAGAAATGCAAGGCCTGGTTGCCCAAATGAAAACATCATGAGAAGTGTTCCTTCTCAGGAGGAAGCTGCGTTGAAGATGGATGAAAGGAACATGTTTACCAACATGAAGATCTTGCATGTTCAGACTTTTTTATTTCAAACTTCTTTCTTAAGGACTGCCTGTCTTCCTTCTGGACTATTCTTGAATTCTCATGTTTGAGCAAATAAATGTAGTTGTTACTCAAGGATACTATCATTTTAGATGCAGTTGTGATAAAAAATAAATAGCTGAAATAGGCAGATCTTCCTTTTACAATTTCACCTTTAAAGTAGTGTCACTGAGTGTCAGTGAATGCAATGAGTAATACTAAATGAGCAGCATGGTAATAATAATTAAATAACTGCATTGACTTATTTTGTTTAGGAGAATCCATCCTCAACATACAGGATTCTGAAGACTATCCACCTTCAAGATCATCATCATTTTCTATAGTTTGAGTTATCTGCCAATGATAGTGTTTCAGTCACATCATGTATGTCACATAGCCACAGTATATCACCTGTAGCCAGGGGGGAAAAAAATCTCCATCATCCAGAAACCACCATAGATAAATTTGTGATAAGAACCAGCAGATTACAAAAAGTGGTAATTGATGAAAAATTGCCTGGTTTGTTTATGCAACAAACTCTCCTTTCCATAGGATTGAGAACCCACACTTCATTAACATGGTCCAGTCATTAGGACCAGGATACAGTCCACCCAACAGAGCAGATGACGCAGGCTGGATAAAGTGTCTGAAAGAGAAATTGAGCAGTGTGCAAAAGGTCTAGAGTAGGGGTGGCCAAACTGTGGCTCCAGAGCCACATGGAGCTCTTCAGAAGTTAATATGCGGCTCGCTGTTTAGGCACCAACTCCAGGGCTGGAGCTACAGGTGCCAACTTTCCAAAGCGCCAGGGGATGCTTACTGCTCAATCTGTGGCTCTTTGGCAATGTACATTAGTAAATTTTGGCTCCTTCGTAGGCTCAGGTTGGCCACCCTGGTCTAGAGGGTAAAATTGTTAACCTGAGTCTTGATGGGTGGAGCAACGTCCACAATGATCCTGTTGTATGTGCTTGTGTGAAAACAGAAGGGAATGTCTTCCTTACAGAAACAATTGATACATCAGGAAATGCACACACAGCAGAATACTTACAAGAAGTAGCAGTAAAAGCTATAACAAACTGAAAAAAATTCAAATGTCTAGTACACAGCTTGGTCACAGACAATGCTGCAAATGTATCCAAGATGAGAAGAAATTATTTAGAAGAGAGTCCCAAGCTAATAAGATACGATTGCAGGGCTCATTTGATGCACCTCCTAGCCAACGACTTCAGTGTTCCAGAAATAAAGGCTAATGTTGTTGAAATTGCAAAATACTTCCCTTACAACCACTTTGCAGCAGCAGCTCTGAAAAGTGGAAAGAACCAAGCTAACTCTCCCACAACACATGCGATGGAACTCAGTAGTGGACTGCTTTGAGCACTATATCAAGAACTGACCTAATCTGATGATAGTTTGTGAACAAAATCGTGAAAAAAATAGATGGCACTGTCACAGCCAAAGTTCTCAACATTGGGCTTAAGAGAAATGTTGAACAGCCTATTTCTGTAACCTTGAACAAAATGCAGGGAAATAGCTGTTTTATTGTTGATGCTGTTGAAATTTGGAAGGAACTGAGTGAGATCTTAAAAAGAGAAATAAGCAACGAGAGAGTTCAATTACAAGCATCAAAAAAATCAAATGGGACAAGCACCATCTCCAGCTCATTTTCTTGCAAATATTCTTAATACTCAGTACCAGGGTCAAACCTTAACTGCTGAAGAAGAGGACTTTGCTGGATGTCCATGTCATAGCTATCATCCCTCCATAATGCCAACTATGATAAACTTCAGAGCTAAGGGTGAACCATTCAAGAAATATATGTTTGCTGATGATGTTTTAAAGAAAGTCACACGAGTGGTGGAAGTCACTTAAGCACTTGGATTCAGAGACTCTTGAAGTGATAAACTCACTTTTAACAGCAGTAGCTTCTTCTGTCGGTGTAGAAAGAATATTTTCTTCCTTTGGACTAATTCATTCCAAATTGAGAAATTGTTTGGGACCTGAAAAAGCCGGAAAGCTTGTTTTTCTTTTCCAGATTATGAGCAAACAGGAAAATGAAGGTGAAGACGACTGAGTTAGCTGCAGAAGTCAATATTTTAAGTTTCTCATGTTGACCTGGCTGACCTAGTCCATTAAATTTTTGTTTTGTTTTTGTAAATATTTCATGTAACTATTTTAGTTAACAAACAAAAACAAACCTGATTTTAAAAAACTTGAATGTTTAAATAAATTCAAAATGTATATGCTTGTTGTGTTAAAAGATTATGTTTGCTGTTTTAGGGAAAAAACAGAAAACATAACATTGGTGTTTAAGTTAAAACAAAACAATTTAAATGTCTGTCTGTTGATATTCTCCTCCTAATACAGCATGGCAAGAAAATCCTCCAAATATTAATGATTAACCTATTGAATTGGAGATTGTTCACCTCCCTATGACTTCATATATATCTGCTTCAATTACCTTTGGTAAATGAAATAACCAATCATTCATTTTCTAATATAGCTGTAAAACTAATCTGAAAAGCTTTCAAAATAAATCACTGTTTAAAAATGTATAGTGTGTACCTTCTAAAAATGAAACCTACATCTCTGAGTTGCAAAGAATATGTATTGAGGTTATTACAACCAACAAGAATGCACTTTTATGTAGAAATCCATGATTAAATCAAGTCTTCCTGACTAGTGATTTAAATCAGGATTTAAATCAATTTGATGCACTCTGACCCAAAACACCTACTGTGCAATTTTATAGTTCTGCAGCCTGAGTCCAAGTCAGCTGACAAAGGCCAAGCACAAGTATTTTACTTGCAGTGTAGACATACCCAAAGTGGCCCCAGTAGCACGGAAGGGAACACATTCTGGAGGGCTTAAGAAAGGACTGTGCCAATCCATTTCCACTGACGTGATTAGAAGATATCGTCCGTGCTACAAAACAGCATTGTGTCCAACCAGTTACAGTCAAGCCAACCATGTCCCATGTGTTCTGATTGAGCATTAACCATGGGGTGTGTGGACACACACCATTCCTCGCTATTGGTACTGTGGTAGCTTGTAGGAACCCCAGCCACATGGGGGGAGGGGACAGGGAGTACAAAGACGTAAGAAGCAGATATGCCAAACCTGCAACAACAAAACGCAAACAAAAATTGGGCTTGTTTTTGGCTTAATTGGCTTGGGAGTTGCTTGTTGGCTAGTGTTTGGTTTGTTGCTTGTTTGGTTTCTAGCTTCTTGTTTTTGATCAGTTCCCAACAAGCAGGGACACGGGTAAGCAGGGGAGAGAGTCAGGGTACACAGCAGGCCCACCACAGTCCCAGACTGCACGCCGGGGGATCGAGTCACATTGGGGTTCTTAGGGATTGGCTTGTTTTGAAATGGGATTAGGTTGATTTTTGGCTTATTGTGAAAGTCGGGGTGCTTATTTACCGCACACAAGTTGGCAACTGTGGTCCCCAGTCACAACCATGGCAGAAGGTTGCAGCAGAGGAAGCAGGGCTGGCCTTACCATGAGGTGAACTGAGGCAGCCGCCTCAGGTGCCAGACAGTGGGGGGGACACCACTAGGACCTAGAGTGTAGAAAATTGTCTCTGCTGCTGGTGCATATGTATTTGCTCTGCTCTAGATGCACAGAGATGGTGGAGTGCTGTGCTGGAGGAAGGAGGGCACAAGAGACATAACAGGCAGGCAGGAGAAAAGGTGAGAGGGAACAACAGAAAGCAGCAGGAGCTGCAGGGAGAGAAAGGAGGAGGAGCGCCCCTGGAGCAGCATTCAGAAAAAGAAAGCAAGCAAAGGAAGCTTTTTTATCTAAGCGGAAAGGAGCTCTCCTGAGATACATAGACACAAATGTTCACGGTGAACCTTCCGGCCCCAGTGAGGATGTGAATGGAGAGGAGATGCCTGATCTTCCAGTTAGTCAGAGAGCAGGTGACCTGGCAGCTACTGCAGCATCCATATCTCCATCTCAAATGGATGTAACCATGCACATTCCTGAAGAAAAGTGTAGATCAGAGAAGAGCGTGGTGGAGGCGCAAGCAACAGCAGCTGCTGAGTTTAGTTCCTTAAGTCTAGAAGATCCAGGACTGTGGACCCACTTGAGCAGTAAGTAGCCTGAGGGACTTCCTTGTACTGCATGGGCCACAGCAAGTGAAAGACTTCATGCTCCCCAAAGATGGATGAAAACTTCTATTTTCATTAACACATTACTGGCTTGAAATCCCCAATGGTGACAAAGTGGAGAGGCCATGGCTTATGTATTCAAAAACCCAGAATGCTGCATACTGTTTTTGTTGCAAACTCTTCCAGTCTAATGTTTCGGCCACATTGGGTTCTACAGGAACAAAGGACTGGAAAAATCTGGCTAGAAATCTGGCATGCCATGAGAAGGCAGCGAATCACCAGAGAGTATTCCATAGGTGGAAAGAGCTTGAGATGAGACTAAGGTTAAAGGCCACCATAGATGATCAGCATCAAGAAAATATTGCATCAGAGTCTCTTTACTGGCAAAATGTTCTGAAAAGGCTCATTGCCATTGTGAGAATGCTTGCTACCCAAAACCTAGCACTGCATGGCACTTCAGATCAGCTGTATGTGCCAAACAATGGAAACTTCCTTAAAATTGTGGAGCTGATGGCAGAGTTTGATGCTGTTCTCCAGGAGCATCTAAGAAGAGTCACCACCCAAGAAATAATGACAGGTTCAGAGTCGCGGCCATGTTAGTCTATATCCGCAAAAAGAACAGGAGTACTTGTGGAACCTTAGAGACTAACAAATTTGAGCATAAGCTTTCATGGGCTACGGCCTACTTCATCGGATAGGATAATGGTGCCAACATGAGAGGAAAGAACCGAGGAGTGCACACACAGATCCGAGAGTTAAACCCTCGAGCTTTTTTTGTTCCATGCAGTTCTCATTCATTGAACTTGGTGGTCAGTGATGCAGCATTAGCTTCTAGTGAAGCTGATGCATTTTTTAATGTAATTCAAAGCATCTATGTATTTTTCTCTGCATCAACTCATTGATGGCAAATTTTGAAGAAACATCCTCTCCGACACTGAAACCACTGAGTGCCATATGATGGGAAAGTCGAGTGAAGGCGATAAAGGGAAGATAGATGATGCCATAGTTGCCATTATAGAGGATAATGATATGACAGGAACTGTTCGTGGGAGAACAGTGGCAGAGGGAAATGGAATCACCAGAAACATACATAACTTCAAATTTCTGTGTGGCTTACTGTTGTGGCATGACATACTGTTTGAAATAAATGTTGTAAGCAAGAGACTCCAAGGTGTTGACCTTGATATATCTGGAGCAATGGAACAACTGGACAAAGCAAAGTCATACCTACAGTCTTACCGGTCAGATGCAGGATTTCAAAACTTTCTGAAGAGTGCACAGAAGTTGGCAGAGGAACTTCACACTGAAGCTATTTTCTCACCCATTCAAAATACAAGAGTCACTGAAGACGACGACATTTTGATTACGAGGCACAGGATAATCCCATAAGAGACCCCAAACAACAATTCGAAGTTGAATTCTTTAACCAGGTGCTAGATTGTGCAAAACAGTCAGTTGAAGAACATTTCATGCAGCTCAAGGAACACAGCAGTATATTTGGGATGTTGTATGATATTCCAAAACTCCTCACTATACCTGAAGATCTACACCAGCAATGCAGGGCACTAGATACAGTGTTGATACACGATGACATGCGCGATATTGATGCGAGTGATTTAGGTGATGAACTGAAAGCCCTTTCAAGATACATTTCAGCAGGCTCAACTCCAAAGGCTGTTCTGGAATATATGTGCACAAATAAGATGACCACCCTCTTTCCAAATGCTTTTGTTGCTCTGCGCATGCTTCTAACACTTTCTGTAACAGTTGCCAGTAGAGAACTCCGCTTCTCCAAGCTGAAGTTAATAAAAACACATCTACGCTCCACAATGACAGAGGAGAGACTGGCCGGCCTTGCAACCATCTCACTAGAGCATGAGCTGGCCCAGACTGTGGACCTTCAGCAGGAAGAAGTTCAGATCTTTGCAACCAAGAAGGCACAGAAAGTACCACTGTGATTATTCAAACAGATAAAAATGCCAGTGTTTACTATGCAGACAAGAAAAGTTACATTTGCTGTTCAGGCATTTGAAAGTTAAGTGTTATTTAAAATTTTTGAACGAGGCATTTTAAGTTGTTAGTTCTCCTTTATTGGAATAGGTAGCAGAGCTGTACCATGAGAGGAGTAGAACAGGAAGAAGACAGAATTGAGACCTTTCAAAGTTATGGCCCAAGCAAGGGGGCATCATTTCAGCTCCCTGCCAAAATTTCGTTGGCCGGCCCTGAGAAGAAGGGCCTTAAAGAAGCCAAGGAAGTCACAAATGGAACCCAGAGGTGATGGGGCCAAGCCCCGGGGTTCTGCCAACACCCCCTGCCCTGGCGAGGCGCATCCCCACAGCCTCAGGGGAACGTGGCGGGCTGGCTGCGCGGGATGGAGGGACGGGCAAGCGCACCCTCGGGCACAGGGCGCACCCCGGCCACCAGAGCCCAGGTGACCCCACCCGAGCCCCCGCCCCGCCGCCCCGGAGTAAGCGCGGGGCCGCACCGACCTCCCCTCCCCACCAGGCCGCGGGGCTCTGCCGCGTCCCCTTCCCACAGCTTCGCACCCACCTGTTCCCGGTACCGGCCGCCGCCTGCACTGGGCCGCCTGGACTTCCCGCCAGCAGGCGCACCCCCGCCCGGCACAGCAGCGGCCCCCAGCACACCATAGCTCCCGCTCCCGGCACAGCCTGGTCTGGTCCGTGCGGAAAAACCTTCCGCCCGCCCCGCCGCCCGCAAACAAAGTTCCGGACACCAACTGCGAACACCCCGCAGGGGAAGAATCCCGAAGGGCACCGCGCCGGGGCAGAGGCGGGGCCTTCTCAAGCCCCAGTCTCCGCCCCCCGACGCAGGCGAGACCGAACCTCTCCTTATTCCATTAGCGCACAGGCAGCTGCGTAGATGGGAGCGGGGGATTCTGAGAGAGCCATAGAGAAAAAGGGAGGGGAGGGAGCAGCCCCAAGGTCCCTGCAGCAGGAAAGCGGGAGAGGATCAGGGAGCTGCCCCCTGGTGGTGGGAGTTGGTCACCGCAGGGGCAGCAGGTTGGCCAGGACACGTGGGTTCACAGTTCATTGCTGGGCCCAGGGGTGAAAGTGAGCTGGTATGGGCCGGTACTCTGTACCGGTAAGAACCTGCAGTGGCCCATACCCAGCCCATATTAAAGTGGCAGCGCTTTAATGTCCCTGCTGGCAGGACCACTGACGGGGGGAAGGAGGAAGGGGCAGCAACGTTAAAGCTCTGCCGTAGCAGCGCTTTAAGGATCCTCAATGTTGCTGCTCCTTCCCCCCGTCAGTGGCCCTGCAGCAATGTTAAAGTGCTGCTATGGCAAAGGGCCCTACAGCGCTTTAATGTCCCTGCCCATTCACACACACACCCTGCAGCCTCCGACTGGCGGGGGAGGGGGGTAAGGGAGCAGTTGCCCTGGGGCCGGTGATTTAAAAAGGCCTGGGGCTCTGGACATCGCTGCCACGCCCTTTAAATCAACACAGGAGCCCTGGACGGCGCAGGCCAGGCGGCCTGAAAGGGCTGGCTGAGGGATGCTGACTCCCTACTTTCATGCCTGGCTGGGCCCCAAGCTCTTTGCTCAGAATCTTGGTTTCACCTCTCCTCAGACAACGCAGCTAGTATGTCCATGCCTGCCCAAAGTGTAGCTCACCTTGCTGGGGTTGGGCTTTGTCTTTGCATGAGTCTAGGAGACTCCCCAGGGCAGTAAGTGCCATGGTGCAGGACTCACCCCAGCCCCAGCTGCCTCTGGGCAGCTTATCAGCTAGCATGGGCTACAGGTGCAGAACTCCACCCTGTTACAACCAGGCTTTTCTCCACTACTGCTGTCCTCATGATGAAGGCGGATTTCGAGCAGTTTCACAGCCCAGTCAGTTTCCATTAGGACGGTCCTGGCAATAGCGGGATGGGAAGTCATCTTCGTAAGTTGAGTACTGGTTTGGAAGGAGAGCAAACAAATCTGGATTCCAGTTGGAACAGTTTAACACACAGGGTGTGGATCAAACTGGTTTATTGTTAACAAGAGCTCTTGCCGCAGGGCAGAGAAGAGAGTCTTACACAGATCTCAGATGCTTGAACACACACTCAAATTGAAGCCCCATGCTAAAATGTTTCCAAAATACCAGATCCTATTTAGAATAATAATTTAGAGACACAGATCATAATTATACCAAGCTCACATATAGCACTGGACATCTGTAGATCTAAAAGTGCTTTACAAAGGTGAAGTGGGATGTGGCTGAAGTGGAAAACACACACACTCATCAGTTATGTGGAGTGTTTGGGAACCTCATTGTTCTAATGGTCCCAATTGATAATAATTAAACATTTTTCTTTTCTCCCCTTTTTTGTGGGCATGTTCAGACAAGGGTATATTGCTAAGGCATTTCAAATGATACTATCTTATCATATGCAAAACTCCAAACATTACCATTGGTCAACTCGACCAGGCCTATCTTCGTGCCTGCTTTATAAATGGAGATACAAACATATTGCTAAGTCCAAGCTGTCGTCCATCTCATCTACAATTCTGACTCAGACAAGGTTCCGGATCAGATGTTTCCCAGGGAAAGCGCAAGAATCACCATAATGGACAATTATGGAATAACTTCTCCATATGAAAAAATTACTTCCTAATTCCAGGCAATTAGTGTTTAATTTATGCTGTGAGCATGATGGTTTATATCCTCTATTTATATTACATCTAGCTAATATAACTGTGGATGTCCTAACCACATAAAGGGCTAATACTTTCCTGAGTCCTGCTAAGCATCTGGAATCAATGATATCTTGTGGGTTTCATAGATTAATTATATGATGCATCAAATTACTTTTATCAATTTTAAATGTATTGGCTTTCAGTTCATTTAGATGGATAGAAGTGAACAGTGTCCACTTACTTCTAAGATACATTTGTACATGGTAAAAATGTAAATTGTTTTCTAAAAGACATTGCTTGAATGGATCTCAGAAGTCTGGATCGCTATGTGGTGCTTACTGGGCTCAGACAGTTGAATACTTCAGCAGTTTTCCTCTTATCTTTATTCCCATTTGAGAACTGCATTACTGAGGAGGAAAGAAGAGTATCTACAACATTACCTTGTATTCCTCAAATAGTATTTGTTTAGGGTCTATAGCTAGGCTGGTATTAGCACAGTTGAAGAGATGTACATTCCACAGTTACGTGAAGCTGAGGCACAAAGTTCAAATCTAGGGGGCTGGACTCAATGACCTTTCAAGGTCCCTTCCAGTTATAGGAGATGGGATATCTCCATTAATTAAATTAAATTAAAAATCTAACGTCCCCAAAAGTCGGGATCTCCAAATTCAAAGATTTCCTCCCCTCATCCTACAAGATAGGGGCCTGGTGTGTAGTTTGGGTGAGGATCTAACTTTCCCTGTAGTTCAGATTGTTCCAATTTCATTGGGATGGATGGGGAGGGAGAGGAAAAGAGTTTGTGCACATCTCTCAATTGTGATTAAATGGAATTGATTTAAAATCTGGGGCAGCTCACACATTGATTTGTAATAAATTAAGTTTTAATCCTTCAGTCAGAACCACATGGATGCAGGGTGGATCTGACTAAGAATTGGGGCCTTTGGTACTTATAAGTATTTAAGAGATCAGCATGTAGGGTTAAAAATGAATTTCCACAATGGATCTGTTGCTGTTTAAAGTATCTTGATTCCATTAATAGTGCTCATGTAACTGTTACTGAGAAACATCATTTTACTGATACTTCACCAAACTAGGAATTTTGTAGTTAAAATTGTGGTTAAAATACAGTTACATAAACCAAATTCTTTAACAATATACATAAAGAGATAGAGTTATGTATTTACATTTCAGAAAGGGCCACTCTGCTCATCTAGTCCAACCGCCAGTATCACACAGAACCTCACTCAGTAATTCCTACCTCAAGTTCAATAACTTGTGAAAAATTAGAATTTACCTTATAATAGCTTTGAACGTCTCTGCTTTCTCATTTTTGCCAATTTTGAGATGCAACGTTCATATCCTGACCTGCCTCGCATTGTCAAGGTGAGAATTCCCAGGTCAATGCTTTTGCTATTTTGTTTTAAAATAATTTTACCCTTCTTTGTGCTTATGTTATATTGCAGTTCTCCAAGCAGTCTCAAAGCCATAATATGCTTCCAACAACTGGATGTAGCCAAGGTCCAACAATGCAATAAACAGCCACAATGTCAATAACTGTTCCTAATTTCAAGATCACAGTGTTTCCAGAAAAGAGTACTGTACTCTTCTTCACTTATCAGTGATGGGCTCCCTTCTAAAATTCCCCTAATGGGTTCATTAAAGAAACGTGATGCTATCAGTCTTGCCTGGCTGAATTGCTAATGAGTCTCAGGTGTTTTTCTGGAGATCACCACAAGATCCATGCAGGTTGGTGGACCATGATCTGTAAAATTTGGCTAGAATCAGGAGGATTCAGTAGAGCTCTCTCTCTCTCTCAGGCATCATATTGTGCCCCAGTTGGTGGTCTGCACTTATATATTTCATCATGGGAGGGGGTCTGCTTGTCTTTCTCTCTCTCACTCACATGCAGGGAGATGGTCTGCACCTATTAAGGTAAATTCAATGGCAAAACTCCCACTGACTTCCATAGTGATCAGGAGCAGGTCCAAAGCTATCACTAAGGGGGAAAAAACCAAAATACAATCCTTCACCCTCCTTCCCATTTGAAATTTCAGATGTCCCCTACAGGTTTCCGAGCACTCAAGGGGGTCATCCCAGAATGCTAAGACATGCTCTCCCAGGGCTATGCTTGCAGTAACGTGGCAGACTTCAATTGGATGAAAGAAAGAGCAATGACACTTTCCAAAGTGAGTTTTCTGAGCGGTGTGATAAATGTGTCACCAAAATTTACTTAGTGCTTTACTCATCATCTAAATGGTGTCATTCCTTGTGATGGCTGCCAATAGGATTTGGGTCAAGATCTCAACCTGGGGAGTCATCTCCAGAGCCTTGATGCTGCTGTGAACTCTGTTCCATGGCTGATATGCCTAGAGTTTATCTTATTTATAGATCTGCAAATGCTTTTCTACTTTTTGTTTTAATATCCTCTGCCATCCTACAGTTGGAACTCACAGTTTTCACCATGTTCATTACCTGGGTCCACAGCCTGTTCCTCACTAAAGTGCTGGTTTGCCTATTCTCTTGGGCTCTAGAGATAATTGTTTATGAGGAATATATTCCCTGTTCTGCAATTAGTAAATGTGGATTTGTATATATTCCTCTCTGCTTTCTCTCCTCTCCTTCACTGCCCATCTCCAGAACCTGATCCAAAGGTGGTTGCTGTAGCCATTCTTAGTCTTCTGGTTTTTTAATATTTTTTTAAAATCAGTGGTTCAAAATATCCTCTTTTTGAAATGTGTGCATCAGAGTTCTTGTACATTATTAGCATTTTAATTATATAGTAGCATATGCTAATATTGTGCCAGTGGGAGTTTCCATGGAGCCTTGAACGAAGAGGCATGTTTGAAAGTTCCAGGGCCCAGAAAATCCCAGAGTGTACAGGCTTTTGCATGGATGTTGCCTCCTTGCACGCGCACAAACACATTCTGATCGGCCACAGCCTCAGAGCCCTACCCATCTGCTCAAGCTGAATCGCAGCAACAGACAACAGGGCAAGTCCTGGAGGGAGCACCATAGATTTACAATGATTATATTGATTTTTGAAAGTGCAGCAGACATAGATTTGATTTGAAAGTGCTCCTGTGAGGTTTATCTCCTGGCAAGTGGGCAGAATAAGTTCAAAGGCCTGTATTTAACACTCAGCCTGCCTGAG